TCCTGGATCTACAGCCTCAGTCCTGGATCTACAGCCAAACTGTTTTAAGACAGAAACTAAATACATGGTTTTGACTTGTTCTTTTTTTGTGGTTTCAAAGTTAGGTATTTTAAATGGGAAAATGACTAATGTTTTTAAAGTGGGTTCGTGTTTACACCCAAAAAGACCAAACTGGAACAATTACTATATTGAGCTGATGATAATCTGGAGAAACTCAGGCGCCTCAAGAAACACTGTCAGAATTTGAAAGTGATCGTGATTAGTTAGTAGAGTTTCATTTTTGTAAATAATAACAGATAAATAGTTCTAATTTCTCTCATCTTGCATGGACCAATAGTATTAAACATTATTGAGTGATTCTGCATTGTGGGAAAGTATTGTGGGAAAGACATGTTTTGCTTTCACTCTCACTGATTTAAAATATGTCAAGTTTTCCGTTGTAAAATATATGCATTTTCTTACAGCTGAAAACGCACATAAACAGATGCTACACAGGTTAATAGAAGCATCAAGCACAGTCTAAGTATTGTTTCATGTATTATTTGCTCCATGTTCTCCTCTGCGGCGACTGTAGACTGGCCCCAGACACTGGTACAAAGCTGCGTTTGTTTAGGGCTGCATTCAAATTCTTTAAAAATACCTCCTTTCCTTTTCCCTCCTAGTCCTTTGTTGAGACCAATTCTAAGACAGGAAAGCTCCAGGTTGGTCCAAGTGAGATGTAGGACTTTTGAAGACTGCTTTAAATGCCTCTTCAGTGCAAAAAAAAAAAAGTGAGGAGACGAGGGAAGTGTTTGGTGGGAATTCGGATGCAGCCTGGGCTTCCATAGGAGCAGGAAGCGTTCTGGGAAATCCCCGTGCAACAGGAAAAGGCGGGAACGATGCCAAGGAGGGGGCGGAGTCAGGCTGGGCACTATGGCAACCAGGGAACCCTTAAGCCCTGCTATTGAATGGGTGATGAAGTATAACATTGGAAAAGTGTTCGTTTGGTCTGTAGAACTGAACACGATCATGCCAGTGATTAGAATGGGTAAATAATAATTGGGTCTTTATAAGATCTCAAGAGTTGTTCTAGAAAATAATGTATAGAAATAGAGGTTAAAGAGGAGAAGAGATACAGGACTCAAAGCTACGATAGAATTATTTTTGTAGGTTAATTTTCTTACTCCTTTTCTGATGTATTCTGGGGACTCTTAACAATAAGAAACTTTCACTTCAACAGGAAGAGTGTTCCAAGAAAATAATGTATATAATTGAGTGAAACATTTTATATTTAGAGCAGAGACTCTAACTGGACTCCCCACGCATTTAAATCAATGTTATTACTCATATAATCAACTAAAGACCTACGCGCAACCTCTGTCTCTTATGGAAGGCCATATGGAACCATAGACTAGGGGCGACAGTGCATGGCTCAGTTGGTAGAGCATTGGCCTTTGAGCCCGACTCCCACTGATGTCTGCTGTCGTTGTGTCCTTTGCCTGAAGCTCCTGCTGAAAGATCAAGGCTATGCCCTCACTGACAGAGCAGCCATGCTCCTGTGGACTCAGCACCTGCAGGAGGATCAGTGAGAGGCTGGTGCTCTGTGAACTGGGTGCAGCTCTGACTGCCGCCCTCAAGACTCAGAAATGGATTAAAGGGGAAGAAGATGGATGGATGAAACTATAGACTTTATATTAGGAGTGGACTGACAGTGTGACATCACCATAGTGTTAGATTTAATGTGGAAGTGCCTTTATAGCTAGCTTGAACAGGCTTTTTGAGTGGGAAAGTTGAGACAAATTCATGCCAATTCTGTTAGTAGCAACAGCAGAGTTACCAAGAGCCAATCAGGAGTGGCGTCGGTCTGTAACCACACACGCTGGTTAGGTTTCATTTATATAGAATTTGTAAATCCAGTATATGTCACAAATTCACAATATAAACATTAGCATCTACAGTCCAGAACAGAGAGAGAGACCAGAGAGAAATGCATTGTCCATCTATAGACAGTCCATGTTTGGAACTTGCACTTTTTTAAAACAACATTAATTCAAATAAAAATCAATGTATAATTATACAGCCCAAAATCACAACGGCATTCGTCTCTAAATGGTAGATATTAAAACTGGCCAAAACATTAAAACTGTGATTGTCCCTGTCTCAACATCCCTTACTTCTTTGGCTCTAACCAAGAATCATATTACATGGAATTTAAGAATGGTAATCTGTTATTCTTTCATTGGGTGAAAGTAGGTCATCTAACCAGTTTGGGAGTGTACACAGACAGTGAGGAGTGATTAATAACTGATGATGACGCAACAATAAGAATCATATGAAAAATAATGAGTTGGTCCTGATTCTATCTGAACCCCAGCAGATAGATTGCATTAGTAATCAGTGATGAAAGGATTCACATGAGGAAGATTCTTAACTTTGTTGTATGTTTGACAATCTCATATTTTCTGCCTGTGGTCAATCCAGATACAATTGATCATAAGGACCGTGTTTCCTTTTTCCTTTGTTGACATTGTACGGAAGTGTGTAAGGATGATGTAATGACACGTTTATGACAAAGATGACGGCAGGATCGTCATGTCAACAAAGGTGTAATCTGTGACGAGGAGAAGATTCCCAGATGTGCCAATGGTTCATACACTACAACACTATGAGGAAGTAGGTTGTGTTTCTTACATAAACTGTACATTAGAAGTGTACTGAGCGAGTGCTACCTCAGAGTTAGCCTTAATGCGGAAGAGGCCGATTTGAACACGAGCTAGCTGGAGCCAATATCCATATATGGGCATTTGTTCTGAAGGGGTTATAGTTTTGCGTCAGAACAGGGGCAGACGTGTTGCTTCGACGGTTGCTAAGGCAAGCTGGATTTTTTCCCGCAAATTAAGGCATATGACAAAATAACAATATAAAAAAACAGGATCAAAAATAGCACCAAACCACAGCTTTTTGACCCCAAAATGGTGATTGTGACTCAAACGGTTTAGGTTTTTCAGGGCAAGTCAAAGAGAGCCAGAGCAAAACCTTGTCCATGAGCACTTCCCTATTGGGCTTCATTAAGCTAGCGGGTTAACATTGTCCATCTGTATGCAGAGTATACTTCATAATTTCTGTTTGCATTAGGTCTATGCAAGATCAATACATGCATTTTTTGTCCACAAAAATCCATAAAAGAGATACTTTGAGACAACAGTCCAAATAAGAGCAAGTCCCAACAGGAAAAAAAGTACGTCACAATTTAAAAACACTGATGCAAACTATTTCCACATATTCCTCTGGGATCACATCAAGAGTCAGCTTCAAAGTCAAAACAAAAATATGTATTTTTTCATGTTAGAAAATGAGAGAAACAGCTTGAACACTGCGAAAGAGCAGGATCAGAGTGACACTAGGGCCTACTCGAGAGCAGGACCAGAGTGACACTAGGGCCTACTCGAGAGCAGGACCAGAGTGACACTAGGGTCTACTCGAGAGCAGGACCAGAGTGACACTAGGGCCTACTCGAGAGCAGGACCAGAGTGACACTAGGGCCTACTCGAGAGCAGGACCAGAGTGACACTAGGGCCTACTCGAGAGCAGGACCAGAGTGACACTAGGGCCTACTCGAGAGCAGGACCAGAGTGACACTAGGGCCTACTCGAGAGCAGGACCAGAGTGACACTAGGGCCTACTCGAGAGCAGAACCATAGTGACACTAGGGCCTACTCGAGAGCAGAACCATAGTGACACTAGGGCCTACTCGAGAGCAGGACCATAGTGACACTAGGGCCTACTCGAGAGCAGGACCATAGTGACACTAGGGCCTACTCGAGAGCAGGACCAGAGTGACACTAGGGCCTACTCGAGAGCAGGACCAGAGTGACACTAGGGCCTACTCGAGAGCAGGACCATAGTGACACTAGGGCCTACTCGAGAGCAGGACCAGAGTGACACTAGGGCCTACTCGAGAGCAGGACCAGAGTGACACTAGGGCCTACTCGAGAGCAGGACCAGAGTGACACTAGGGCCTACTCGAGAGCAGGACCATAGTGACACTAGGGCCTACTCGAGAGCAGGACCAGAGTGACACTAGGGCCTACTGAAGAGCAGGACCAGAGTGACACTAGGGCCTACTGAAGAGCAGGACCAGAGTGACACTAGGGCCTACTCGAGAGCAGGACCAGAGTGACACTAGGGCCTACTCGAGAGCAGGACCAGAGTGACACTAGGGACTACTCGAGAGCAGGACCAGAGTGACACTAGGGTCTACTTGAGAGCAGAACCATAGTGACACTAGGGCCTACTCGAGAGCAGGACCAGAGTGACACTAGGGCCTACTCGAGAGCAGGACCAGAGTGACACTAGGGCCTACTCGAGAGCAGGACCAGAGTGACACTAGGGCCTACTCGAGAGCAGGACCAGAGTGACACTAGGGCCTACTCGAGAGCAGGACCAGAGTGACACTAGGGCCTACTCGAGAGCAGGACCAGAGTGACACTAGGGCCTACTCGAGAGCAGGACCAGAGTGACACTAGGGCCTACTCGAGAGCAGGACCAGAGTGACACTAGGGCCTACTCGAGAGCAGGACCAGAGTGACACTAGGGCCTACTGAAGAGCAGGACCAGAGTGACACTAGGGCCTACTCGAGAGCAGGACCAGAGTGACACTAGGGCCTACTCGAGAGCAGGACCATAGTGACACTAGGGCCTACTCGAGAGCAGGACCAGAGTGACACTAGGGCCTACTGAAGAGCAGGACCAGAGTGACACTAGGGCCTACTCGAGAGCAGGACCAGAGTGACACTAGGGCCTACTCGAGAGCAGGACCAGAGTGACACTAGGGCCTACTCGAGAGCAGGACCAGAGTGACACTAGGGCCTACTCGAGAGCAGGACCAGAGTGACACTAGGGCCTACTCGAGAGCAGGACCAGAGTGACACTAGGGCCTACTCGAGAGCAGGACCAGGACGAGCTGTTTTCCTTGGCTCATCATAAACACAACTGAAAGAGTTGAAGAATGCAGTTCTTACCGAGGATGGAGTGAACGCGCACCGACAGCTGAGTCCTTAGAATCACAACAGGCTTCTTTCCTTTTCTGTGGAAAAAGACAAACACACAAACACACACACATACACACACACACGCACACATGCACGCACACACAAACACGCACTTAAGTCTTGGAGGAAAACCATTAAGTCTGAGATAAAAATAAGCAAAAATGTTCAAAGTTTAGGGAAAAACCAAAATAATGTCTTTGAACAAAAATGGAAATATCTCAATCACAAACCCAAAACTTCTCAAATTAATTTCTGGAATTTCCACCCTGTGGGAAGAATCTCTTAATCCTAATGATGATAACATTAGATAATCTTAACTCTTCAGGGATTTCTTTTCCATGACTGACTGATTGTTGTGTTTGTTTAACCCCTCTTTCCTCAGAACGGTGAAGTCAATTGTTCAAAGACTTTTTTTCAAAACTCTATATTTCAAAAGAACATATATTTTTTACCATATTACTCTTTAGTATTATTGAAAGTAAGTCTTTTTCATAATAAACATATCTAAAGCAGCTCCTCCCCTTGGAATACGCACGAGAAAGAAAGAAATGCAGACAGAAAATAATAGGGTTCTATTTTCTCAATTTTAGCAAAAAACAGACATTTAATAATAATACATATATTTTTAAATCTCAGACTGTGTAGTAACATCTTGATAATTATTCTCCAATTTTGAAATTAATTAATTTATTCAATCACTTATCATTTTGGCAGTTTTGGTCCATATCCTATACTAGCTCTGCCCCTCCATATAAAACAGCTCTGAGTGTTTTAAGTCTAGTCTCAAGACAAAATTCGAATCTTTGGCTTTTAGCTCAGCGTGCGTCGTGTCGTCTGTGTTTAATTTAATGTTTTGTTTTATGAAAATGTGCTATATAAATAAAGTGGATTGGATGCTACACTATTATTACTGCAATCCCTTGACATTACTGAAGTGCAGTAAGTGGAACCGTAACAGGAGCTGATCCCAGAGTATTTGAGTTTCCATGGGCCGCCTCTCACCCGGTCATTAATGTTCCAGTCTTTACCAGAGGACCCCAGAGCGATTCAGGAGAACTCTGAATTATTCTGAAGTAGAAGATTCCAGGTCAGTGTTTCTGGTGACGCACTCTGCCCTTGTTCACAAAGAGGTCTGTGCAACATAGCGGTAAGTTTTTCCTCTTTGGCAACAACTAAAAAGACTCAAGGCTGGTCTTAAACCCAAGAATTTCTGAGATTCTGCCGAACTTTTATCGCTGCAATGTTGAAAGTTTGCTTGTTGTTTCTGGGACTGGTTCGGTAACATCACAGCCAAAAAAGGAGCCCTGAAAGAGGACCGTGTGCTGCCTAGCTTAAAGATGCTATACCCAATTTTTCTTTAATGAGTTCATAAAAATGCTTATTACTACATCCAAGTTGCATTATAATCCGTACTTTAATTGAAAACTTGAGCTCATTGATTCAGCTTGTGTATGAATTCAGGACATAAAAAGTGCTGAGTAGATCGTTATCCTCCACAGACCGAGGAGGCGTCCTCTAGCCTCTACAGCGCTGCTAAACACAGTAGCATGTTAGCAGAATTGGCTATAACTCCTCTTTCTGTAATTGCAGACACAGCAAAACAGCTCAAAGGACGCAACAGTGAGGAAGAGAAGAGGGAAATAAAGCGAAAAAATGATCAAAGAAGAAATCAAGCCCGGGTGAACATAGCTAGCTTACATTGTATCCTCTGGAGAGACTTGTCTATGGGAGAGCAGTGTTGCCAACTCCTCAGTAAGGAAAGTAGCTATTGGCTGTCCCAAAAGTCGCTAGAAGTCGCTAAATGACGCCATCGCCTAATTTGCATAATTGGCCATTTGCAAATAACTATAACGGACGCTGTAGGAGAGAGGAATATCGTCGTGGGAGAGACAAAAGTGAGTAAAAAACACCCTAAATATGTTTAGAACTACAAATGTACAAAAATAATTTCAACATTAACAACATTTAATGATTTTAATGCTTTGTCTAGATCTGTCACTAGTCGCTTTTTTGAAAAAAAGTCGCTATAGGGTCTGAAAAGTCGCTAAATCTAGCGACAAAGTCGCTAAGTTGGCAACACTGTGGGAGAGACCTGCGGGACCGCCTCGGACTATCTATGCTTGGACTATCTATTCTCAGACTACATTCGGACGTGGAACTAGTGGTAATCTTTCAGTTATATATTTTGTTAGCAGTGCGTTGCTTTTGTACCTTTTCATCAGTGATTGTTGTACTGCTTACAAAAAGTTGCACTAATGCTAATGTTAGCATATAGATCGCGAATAAAACTAGATGGCTCCGTGGAATGAGAGCGTAGGGGAAATGAGAAGCCTGTGAGCAAGTTGGGGGGCTGTGCTAAACATTCGAACCTTGCAGAAACGGGTATAGGTTCACTTGAACATAATCTAGCTGGTAAATCCTCTGTTTAGTACCTTTGGTTTGTTATGTGACACAAACGGTTACTGAGCTAGAAGAGTTTACTTTTACATGTTAGTCAGAATTGGGCCAGAAAAGTGGGATAAAAACGTCCCTACTGGGTTTCATGGAGCTAGCGGGTTAACATTGTCCATCTATATACAGTCTATGGTGTGGAGACATGACCCTGAATTGGCCGTCTGATCTCACGCCGGAAACACTGAAAGTACTCACTCTACGTCCTCGAAGAAGCTCTCCAGTTCATCGCTCTGCTCGGACAGAGACGAGTCCAGGTCCAGGTAAGTCCCGCTGTGAGAGAGCTGCAGCGTGCACTCCTCCAACTGCAACACACACACACAGCACAACACAGTCCAAATCATTAAACCAGCAATAAATACATGCCCAATTCTTAAGATCCATCTCATTTAATTGGGATAAAACATGTATTCATATAACATGTTTGTATTGGCATATAACAGGTTTGTATTGGCAGAGGTCAAGTTTGTTCTGGAGGTCTTGGTCATGGTGCTGCGCTATGCATCTTGTCCGCTAATATTGCGACCTGCAAGATGCGAGCAAATGTCAAAAGAAATGGATTTGAATGGGCAGACGCTTGATTTTGAATGTTAGCCACGTTAGCACCGAGGGATAGCTGTTGATCGCCAGATACAGTGCAGCTAAAGAGGGAAGCTATCTCGTTATGAACGCACAAACATAAAAACAAACACACAGGAATCTTCTTAAAAACTGCTTTGAGTGTAAGTAAAGAAAACTACTATAACATGGTCCAAAGCTGAGAAAAGTCTGTGATGCAAGTTATGTCCCCTTTACAGCTGGGGTATCTGACTCAAATCACAAAAATTGGACTCTGAGGAGCACAAGGACAGGCCTCCTGCTAGGACTGGGGAGCACAGGTAATGGCCTCCTGCTGGCGCCCAGGGTCAGGACTAAATATGAGGAGACATTGTTTCAGATTTATGCAGCAAAAAATCTTAATCAGTCTTCCTGAAAATGTGAGACAGGCTTCTTCTCTGACAATGTTCAAATCCAAGATAAAAGCAGTTCAGTTTAGCTGCAACGACTGAAGGATTGTATCTTCACTCTTTTTGATGCACTGTGAATATTTATGTACCTCGTGTGAAGGCTTCAATCATGTTTTGTTCAGCACTTTGTGAGTTGCCTTGTGTATGAACTGTGCTATACAAATAAATCTGCCTTGCCTTGCCTCATAAAATCCATCCAACTAGTTTCTCGCTCTCAGAACATTTTGCTTCTATCTCTAATTTTCAGGTGCATGTATGTTTTTGGCCTCGGTCACGTCTTCAGATCAGCTTTTTATGACGATTGAGGTTGACACACATTTGTAACGTTGTGTGTTTGACTCATTCCTGAAGCATGAGCCGAGGTTTAAACATGTCACAGAATCACTCCATCGTTGTTTAGGAGGAAGAGTCCTGTTTAGACAAGGATCAGTTTACTAATAAGCACTGTGACTCAATGAGAAGTAGTAGTCTAAAAATGCAAGCGATACATGACTGTGCTGTTGCATTGCACAACTGGGCTAAACTACAGACCCCTGAGAAGCAAAGGCCGAAGAAGTGTCTTTAACCATCATCACCCAATGTGCCTCCATCCTGCACTGGCAAATGTACTTTGAGCAACACATTAAAAAAACGTGTTCCATGCAAACAGGGGGAGACTGTATACCCGGGGTGTCAAACTCATTTTGGTCCGGGGGCCACATACAACCTAATTGGATCTCAAATGGGCCGGACAAGAAGATGCGCTACAAAAATACCCAAAAACGGTACAAAGTCCAACTTTTTGTTCACATAAACACATTTATTTAAAACTTCCTTTAAAACACTGTCCTTCAATACTCAGTTTTCTGTTACAAACTTAAATGTGACAGTGAGTTTTTCATTGTGCAAATAATGTAATGTTTTTACTAAATTTTTACTAAATTGAAAATGGCATTTCACAATATTTATATTAATAAATGTATGTTAGCTTTGTTTAACGGCTCATTACAGAGAAAACTTGCTCAAAGGTAAAGTAGGTAGATAGAAAAACGCAATTTAACACAGCACCTCAGTTTAACCATCTTCAGTGTGGTAAGGTCCATGGTTATGTTATTGTCACAGAGAAAGCATCAAACTGACCATGATTCAGTTGAAATGAACAACAACAACTTCCATAACGTGATCTATTCTTTACAACTGCAGCAGTGTCTCTGTAAAATACAGTCAAATGTCCAAAAATCATCACCTCCATTTGCAGCTTTGTCACAACACCTGCTTTTACCGTTGGTTACAGTCAGTGGGGGCGGGTCCCAGCTCAAAAGTGGCCAAAATGACGTGCGCTGACATGCTTGCAATACCACCCCGGGCCGATGGGGGTGAACCCAGAAGAAGAATTAGCCAAGGCTAACGTATAGCGTTGGCAGACCTCTCAAAAACGTCTTTACAGGATGGACCAAAAGTTGGCTCTTGGCCCAAAGCTCCGTTCCACATGTGTGTCAATGCTGAGGGGGGTGAATTTTTTTGGTCCACTCTAGTTTACTTACTGTGAATTTTTTAAGTCTCTCGTTCAAATGAATGGAGCTGCGCCGGCTGACGCATGCGCAGATGCGTTTTTTCACAATTTTCTTGTGGGCGGGACCACTCGCGGCCATTTTGGATTGCTCCAGTAGAGCAAATTTTTTGGCCCATTAGTTAGAACGGCAGAGATAGGCGTGACTCTGTCTATTAATATATACAGTCTATGGTTACAGTCCACACTGTCCAACAGCACCAGCAACAACAGCAGAACCAGCAGCAGCACCAGCAGCAGCGCTCAAAACTCCTCTGATAGTTTCAGTAACACCACAAATGAATATGCGACATCAGTAACATCAGTCTCTGATCAATGGCAACATGTTGGTAAAAGCGAGTGGTTTCTCTGGACACAGTCTGCAGCCTGTATGAGAGTTTTAACAACTCTCTCTGCGGCTGTGATGGTAATGCTATGCTGTTAGCACTCATGTAGCTTGTCTTTACAGTCAGCACTAACCTCTCGCTCTGGGCACAAACAGACTGCTGTGTCTTCAGGGCCAGACATGTTTATATTCTGTCTTCTCAATTCTCCGCTCAAAGTGCCGTATTTTTCGTCGAGTCTTGTAGTTTAAGATGTTATTCCTTCAGCACCGCTCTGGTGGAGCCAGCTACAGATGCACTGGACTCGCTGCTGAGCGCGGCGCTGTGGCGCCTCGCAGAGCCTCGCGGAGCGGATCATTTAAAAAATATATAATTTTACGTAAATGAGCCACGGGCCGTGTCAAATCTCTTGGCGGGCCGGTTCTGGCCCGCGGGCCGTATGAATGACACCAGTGCTGTATACAGATGGACAGTGCTCACCCACGAACACAATGAAGCCCAATCGGAAGTGCTCATGGTGAAGTTTTGCAAGTCAAGAAAATTATGTTTCTGCCCGACAAGACAAAAAATTAAATATTCTTAAATAAAATAACAAAAAAATCACTTGAATTTGTAGTTAAGAACTTTTGCAAACTTTGTCATTAATTGCAAAGTCCCATATAATTAAAGAAATTGGAACACACAGGTTTTGTGTAAAAAGTGTGTCTTTCTGACTGGCTTGTTCCATTTGACCTCAGAAAGTTCCAGTTCCAGAAACACCAGAGCAGAGAAATGATGCAACCAGCGATGGAACCGAGCGATCCTTCAAATATCAGCAGTTAAAATGCTCTGTCCTGGTCTGCTCTGGCCCAGGTCAGGAGCCTGGTCCCTGGTCCCTGGGCCCTGCAGAGGAACAGGGTGGGGTCTGTAAACAGCAGATAAAGTGAATGAGGCGATGGACGGATGTCGTGTCACATCAGCTGTAGATAAGTCTTTCCTTCCTCTCGTACAGCTGGACTTTTACAGACTGGTGGTTTTTCTTTAAGTTAATGCTTCCAGGCTTTTCAGAGGATCACTGCACATGCGACACTTAGACTTTTATTTTTATAATGTATCAATTTGACCAGAAAGGTCCAAACAAAAGGAATTAAACAAATGTGAAGTCAACACGAATTTAAGTTATACTTTGTCTCCATCCAGCCCTCTCTACTAAACTTCAGTGTGTGAAATACGTGCGCTATTATTTATAAATAAATAATACTAGTTGCTGTAAATGTAAATGTCTGGTGGTGGCATCAGGTGCAGAAGAACTATTAACTTGAACAGAACACTTCACAAGATTCTGAAGCTACAGGAGACTGTCGAGTTTGACCATTGAGAGGAATGAGCACATAGACCTGGGAGCTGTAAGTGATCAGAGACACACACACAGAGACACGCTAACAATACACACACACAGACACACACAAAGACAAAGACACACACGAACACTAATGTTTACATAACAGATAGTCACTCAAAGCACCTGCTCTCATTGTATCTGTGAAGAGGTCGAACCAGTGGCTGCCATAGTTACACTGATGACCAATATTAAACCGGAGAAAATCTACAGTTTGTCAACAACAACAACAAAAAATGATATAAAAAGAAGGCCTCACATGACAGAATCAGGGACGGATTCAAAATATAATTAGAACAGAGAAACACATGTCCCAAACATGAACACACAATAATTCAATTCTTGTATCGCCCTAAATGCCAACAGCTTCTCGTCTCAGAGGTCTCAAACAGTTCAAACACAGGAAATGCAATAATAACAAACACAGAGGAGCCAGTGGTCCCCAGGGAGCGGGATGACCACTGTCCAGAAATGTTAATAAATGTGCCGAAACTGTTCTTAGACCCTCAGAAACTCAGTGGGAAACCTTGGGGAGGTTCAAAATGAGGGAGGAACCCACTCGATGATGTCGATCCAGGACTGAGGCTGTCGATCCAGGACTGAGGCTGTCGATCCAGGACTGAGGCTGTCGATCCAGGACTGAGGCTGTCGATCCAGGACTGAGGCTGTCGATCCAGGACTGAGGCTGTCGATCAAGGACTGAGGCTGTCGATCCAGGACCGAGGCTGTAGATCCAGGACTGAGGCTGGCGATCCAGGACTGAGGCTGTAGATCCAGGACTGAGGCTGTCGATCCAGGACTGAGGCTGTCGATCCAGGACTGAGGCTGTCGATCCAGGACTGAGGCTGTCGATCCAGGACTGAGGCTGTCGATCCAGGACTGAGGCTGTAGATCCAGGACTGAGGCTGTCGATCCAGGACTGAGGCTGTCGATCCAGGACTGAGGCTGTCGATCCAGGACTGAGGCTGTCGATCAAGGACTGAGGCTGTCGATCCAGGACCGAGGCTGTAGATCCAGGACTGAGGCTGGCGATCCAGGACTGAGGCTC